TCCAATTGCTTTGATATTACATATATAGGTACTACATGTGGACCTCTCTCAGATTTGTTCATTTCATAATGATATCTTTAATTCTCTAATTTTGATGAATATTTTTGTAATTTTTGGTAAAAAGTGATATTTTCGACTTCTTGTTGAAAACTGCAAGTCCAATTGCTTTGATATTACATATATAGGTACTACATGTGGACCTCTCTCAGATTTGTTCATTTCATAATGATATCTTTAATTCTCTAATTTTGATGAATATTTTTGTAATTTTTGGTAAAAAGTGATATTTTCGACTTCTTGTTGAAAACCGCAAGTCCAATTGCTTTGATATATTATACATATAGGTACTACATGTGGACCTCTCTCAGATTTGTTCGTTTTCTAATGATATCTTCTGTTCTTTAATTGCCATGTGCATTGCTAACAGCGGAGCTATCTCAGCCGACAGGCTGCTTGTTTGAATACTGGTAATCAAATTTATATAATATGTGTTTATTGTGAGTGTGTAACCGTGTGTAAACTTCACCTACCAATGACCTGGTAACAAATCTACTTCAACATCAAAGATTCACTTTCGCATTACGATACCAAGCGTTACCAAGAATGCCTTCAGAAATTCCCAGAGAAAGGATAGGTTCGATACATCATTTTGATTGAATCATAACAGACCTGACCTATCAGGTCAAAAAAACTTTGCAGGTCAAATTGTACAAAAAAAACAACATAGCAGAAAATGTTTTTCTTTGTGAGTTTGCACACGATTGAATACATTCGTTACTGGAGATAATGTTAACCTTGTAAATTCTGGTGGTACAAAATTACTGTATTTATCGGGGTAAAAGCCCAGGGTCCTGAACATGGAAAATTGCCAACAAATAGGGGTGGGTGTTTGTCCGGATATACCAGGCCAGTGTTCTCCCCAGGATGTAAACAGCGTGGCGGTCCCGCCACAGTGCTTCGATTTGCCGCCACACCGGTCTGACACCGCCACAGTGATTAGAAAGACTGCCACAGTGCTTTTTTCATTGGAGATCTTCGTTACGCTGGTGGCCCGACCGGCTCTCAAGACTAGCGTCTACTACGGGAAAGGCTTCCGACCAGGGCTATTGTCATATTGTTATTATACTTAGTACTGACCGACTGGCATCCTGCCGGTCGTGGATAATAATTTGTAAACAATAGACATAGTCGTACGATGTGGTAGAGGCTTTAAACGATACAAGTAAATTTTGTAAAATTAGCACCTCTTTGTTTGTAAGTAAATACTTTCTGACGATAGACGCAGTCTTTAGAAGGAAAACTAAAATTCTTTCAAAATCAATTCCACCCCGATATAACATGGGCAAAGAGGAGTTCATGATCAGTTTACACTACTCAAGAAACAACGTGCATATTGCGTGATTGGTTAAAATACATTTGAACTGTTATCATAGTGAATCATGTAAAAAAATTCTTTTACCTTTTAAAAATTGCTAATCACCTCTTTCGAAAACCATCATGCAGTTTTCATCTGAAATCCATACCAACACATCGTGCTACGACATCGCTTTACTTCCGCAATGGAAAACTTTGTGTTCTACCGGCATTACCATGCAGCATTCTGATTGGTTAATGGCGTTTTTGACCCATCGGGTCAAAGGACACATGCCGGTGAACTGATGCGTCACAACTATCATGGCAGGTCTGTGTTTTTCACCGAAGTGATCGAGTGATCAAAAATAATTGCTCCCGATAAAACTGATTCATAACCAGCAATCCGCCAAATAATTACGTGGTCGATTTTTTGAAGGATAATTTTGTATTACCGGTAAATAAGATCATGAAAGTCGTGAACATAATCCTGGCTGAAACGCTTCAAATGAGTTTCATTTAACCTTTTACAATTTGTTTCTTTTTAGTCTGCAGCATTTGCATTTTGAGAATGTTTCATTTTTAAATTCAAACTCTTCTAAATAGTGAAACCAAAAACCAATAATTTCTGTTTTTACGCTATTAATTTGCACACTTGAAAAAATAATTATTTTCACTACCGCGAATTAATCAAGTTTTTACGGTACACTAAGAATGAAAAGCCAAAGTCGAAACAGGTTGCATCATGGACATGACACAACACACGCTGCGACAACTGAGTGATCAGCGACATCATTTTGGAACGCAATTGAACTTCAAGTACTTCTTTGCTGTTTTTCTAATTACGCAAATTTGTTTACAATATTGTACCGGCTCTGAATATTTCAACTTTGTAATGTGTTGCTTTCATGATAATTACGCAAACTCAAGTTATTTTTTACTATTGTTAGGGCACTGACCCGGGGTATTGGGTCTGAGAATATTTCAATATTACCAACTTGATAATGCGTTGCATTCGTAATAATTACGCAAACATAAACATAGGTGCATTTAAATCATTAAAAAGGATAGTAGTCAGGTATCTACAGAAAGTCGAGAAAATATTTTAAATACTTGAAATTCATCGATGTTCCAATGGTGAATTATTTTATTCGAAATGAAGTGAATATGTAATATAAACCATAACATGCGTCAAGTTAAATTTTACTATAATATAATAAACTCTTGTAAGCGCACCTTGATCGCATTATTCACGTCTATTTCAACTGAATTCTCTAATAACCATCCGTTTGAATCACGTGCGGCATTGGGCAATGACCTCCAGAGTTCATGCACTGATATTTAAATTCGGGTCACCCAGCTTGACACAAATCAATATAGTTACTTGTCATTTGTTCAAAAAATCTTTCAACTCTCACAAATACCATGAATGCAAAAAATTAACTGGAGGTTAACTGAAAGGAACGTCTTTTTTGGACAAAAAACACGTCAATACAAGATTATGACCAAAACATCGCCCACTATTTGAAACATTGCCCATGGGCGGAGTTTAGGATGGGCGGGGTATCAGTCGAATCCGGTAGTAACTGTACAACAGCTAGTCATTCTTTATTTCACTTAATTCTTCTTCATACAACAAGTAATATACTGGTGTAATACATTATTTCACAAGAATGAACTTTCTTATTCAAACATGGCATACTATTCATGTAATTTTTTTTTTTTTACTTTTCAGGTTCCATTGTTCACACAGGTGTTACTAGTGGTAAAATACCTTTTGCTCATATTGATGTTAATCAAATACCTCATGATTCCAATTTAACGATGAATATCTTGCTCGACGTACTGAGTGAAGTTAAGACCCATTTGGCCAAAGTGTTGTACCTTCAGTTAGACAATTGTTTTCGAGAAAATAAGAATCGTTTCTTATTGTCATTGATGGAGTTAATGGTAGAAATAAATGTATTTGAAGAGGTATGTTAGACCAGATAATATTTTGTAATTATTTTTGGTAATTGGAACACAATATTAACAAATTTTTAGTGATACCATCCGAGTGCTTCGGCTAGTAATCAACATTTGCTGTCTCCTCCAGTGAATTGAGAATGATTTAGGCCATTCTTATTTACATGTACTTACAACAGTCATGTATCATATTTGCTATATTGAAAACACATCTCCAATAGAAGCATATGTACACCCACAATTTTTTTAAAATATTACTTATTTTGACCATAGAAACACCCCTGTAATTTACATTAGTGCATGCACAAATACAATTTTTTTTTTCATAGATTTTTGTCAGCTTCCTACCAGTGGGTCACACTCACGAGAATGTGGACCAGATGTTTTCCAAGATATCCACAAAACTAGGACACAGGAATACATACACTATAGATGGTACGTTCGTGTTCGGAAATGACACATCAAACCTGATGTGCTATTTAGATGGTACAACATTTGCTATTATTCACTTAATGGCTACTAATAGAATACAAGTTTGTTTTAACTGGGGCATATTTTCCGTTCAGACATAATTTGAAAATTGTGACTTGTAATTTTGGTTCAGTCTATACTTTCAGTCGAATCTTGGACTTTTACTGTTTCTGGTCAAAGGTGATCGGTAGACAGATGTGTCAAGTTATTTGTTGATTAATCATTTTTGATTTTAACCCAAAAAGGAAAAAAAAATCACATTTTCAACAGAAAGAAATAACCCAAACTGTAAGCATTGTTTTTTAAATTAATGGTTCAAAAAATTAATCTGAAACTATGATTAGAAATCCCTTACTCTAGCTACATTACATTTTCGCTGAAAATAGCATTTTAACTGTTTTGTATGGGGTTTATTTCCACTGATTATGATGAACTGCATATAAAATGCTCGGGGGGGGGGGGAGTGTCACCTCTTCAGTGAAAATAAATTTCAAGCCATTTAGTATTTTATAGTATACAGAAAATAAAATCAGTGACACGATTTGGACATTATTTATCATTATACTGCTCAACCAATTGATCTGCATTTTTTTTTTGACAGATCTTGAAGAAACTGTTACAGCATCATACACACCACCAATCAAGTCCTGTGGCTTATTAAAAAAACCTTTGTATAACATTAAGGATTGGTTATTACCTCACATAACAGGAAAAATGCAGGGCCACTCCAAGCCACACAATTTTCGTTTTCATAAGGTGGGAGGAAGAGCCTACATGCAATACAGATTGTGGTGTACAGACAAATGGCAGCCAACCACAATAGATGCCAATGGGGATCAAGTTCCAGGTCTAAGATGCCTGAAGGTATGTTTTTCACAAAGTCAGAGAAAAAAAAGAATCTTCAGTTACTTATTTTACAAGACCTGGAAGGTGATCATTGTTACAGATATCAATCATGGCAACTTGAACCCAAAAAAGTAGTTAAATAGCAGCTAAATGTGTTGAAACTTTAGCTACAGGTTACTTTGATCACAATTTTAGTACAGCTAATGCTACTGATTGGCAGTGGGGAAAAAGCCATACCATTCTGGCTTTATTATCCATGTGTTGTCTTCCCTTAGCCTACATATTTCTTTTTCATAGCATATATACGCATATATGTTCTCAAATTCTAAATGCTCGACTATATGATGCTAAATATTTTACTTTTAATGCAAAATATACATATAATCTTAATTTTTACATACAAATTTTGTGTTATGGGAGTTGCTTTATATTCTCTAAATTGTGATCCATGCTTTGTTTGCTTTATATTGTGCAAAAAAGACAATGTTGAATAAAAAATAGCAATAATTTTTACTAACTTGTTTTTGTAAATATTGTTTAAAGAGTATTCCAGGCAGAGATGATGTTCCTTCATTTGTTATTCCAAGTCTGGAAAAGATGGATGCTGATGCATTAAACCTTGATATCCCAAGGCGATATGGAATGAGATTACCAGTAGCAGCAGTACAATGGTGGAATGACTTTTTCACTAATGTGAAGGAACTTGAAAAGGTAACAAATAATTAATATTGTAGAATCTCTAATTTCCTGACCATCTAGATTAAGGGTCTAATTGACACCTATTCAAGAGTATGATGTATGATCATGGCTAAGCGTGAATGGGTAATCTTCAGTTCAACAATGAGCTGTTATCACCATAAAAAGTGTTAAATTTTTCTGCAATGCTCAGTCTAGCTTTGAAATTTCTTGATTTAAAAAAATGCCATTTTCCATCAAAATTAAAGCTAAAAGAACGCTTCACAACATCAGTAAATCTTTTCCGTGTTGCACTAAACTGTCATTAACATATATAAATGACCTACGGTAATTCAAACACATAGGCACCATCCAACATTTTGATTTACGACTTGACCTATCAGGTCAAAGAATACAGTTCAGGTCAACTTGTTCAAACTAAGTATTTACTACTGAGTGTTCAATTAGCCCCCCAACAGGACACAGTCGTGGACGTTGCGAACTGGGTTCTTTCGTCTGTTGGTGCATTTCAAACTTGATACAAATTTGGTTGTAAATTGGGTAAACAGTTAATGATATTCCAAAATCGCGCCATGCCCCCCTCTCCTGTCACCTTTTTATTTCGGCATTACGAGTGTTGCCGAAATGGCGCCACCAACGGGACCATAAAGCAGGAGATAGAACACGCTATCTATCGGACGCACAAAAATTTACATTTTAGATTGCAGATTTCCTAACATTACCGATACATTGTTCAGGTGAAGTTTAATAAAAATAACAACGTTAATATTTTCGGTCATGATGTTCAAAGCCTGTGCCTAAATCTCACGGTCATTTTGGGGGGAGGTACACGGACACCCACATAGCATATTTTTCTCGCAGGTTCAAACCTGTATGGGCCAATTTGTTCCTGGCACTCTAAAACAAAATCGTGACATCTCTCGTTGTCGTCATATTCCTCGATCTCATAACTCTCGTCAGACGATAAGACAGACTCCATGTCACTTTCTGAGCACTGCATGCATATAGCGACCATTGTGAAACTATGACAAATTCACCGCCGTGACGCCACAAATCACCCTTGTATGCTAATTACGTTCTCTAGCTGGGGACTCGTTCTGAGTCAGCCAAGAAATTGGACGTGGGTTTCCTTATCCAGAACATTATTATTGATCGTTTATTTAATTTATGTACATTTTTCACTTGATTTTTTTCCATAATGTTGTTTATAAATAAATTTTGCACTCAAAAAAAGTTCATTGTTCCAATTCATTACACTTTAAGGCCAATAATGCATCACACATTTTGACCCAATCTTACAAAATAAGCTAATGAATGTTGACATTTCATTTGTCATATATTAAAAAACAAGTATTTGTATCCTTCAGAAAGTATATACTTTCTCACACTTGGACAGTAATTCAGTAAAACTATTTGTTTGGTATAGGTGCCGAGTGAAACTCCAAGTTCATGGATCTTGTATGATTTAAAAGATCATGCTGTTGAAAAAAGAAATTTGAGAAATCAAATAGAAGACCCCAGAGTAGGGCAGAATGTGATGGACATTGAAGAAAGACTAACTCTGCCCTGTCCTAGAGTAAGTAGAATATTTTTTTATTTTATAGATATGACAAGTTTTCTCACCACGAACATAAAAAATCAAAAATTCGCAAAACTTGACAAACACTCAGATCAAGCTGAGACAAAAAATAGAATGCCAATTGAAAACTTGCAATGAACGATATGCAACATTAGAAGTATAACAAAAATAATTTATTGCTTATGATGTGACAAATAAACTAAAATTTCAGGGGTTAAACTGCGTAAAATTATTTCCAGTTTTGACAAATTAGACATTACATCAAAATCACCTACGAGATGTTGTTTTTAAACATTGCAGAAAAACATGAACCCTGGGGTTCTGACCAAGGTAACAAAGGTGGCGGCGCACACATCAGTCACAATATCACAACATACATTATGTCGCCTTAGGCGGCTTTCTTTGGTACTGAGACACTCTATGAATGAGGAAATTTCTAGAGGACAGGGTTTGTTTTTTCTTCGTCCGTCTCGTCTACAGTTGAATTATTTACACTTTTCTTTCCAATGTGACTTAATTTTGGGGTAATTAATGTCACTGGCGATTGAGTGATAACAAATAGAGTACAGCAAATCGAGTGTGTCTTCCCGACTGAGACTTGTTTTGTCACATTGTTGCCGTTGCGTGCAATGAGCAAAATATTGCTACTCTAGTATTTTTTGTTGGATTTGGAGGCTCTGCACGCTTGAAAGACTTTGTAACTTCTTACAGACTTCACAGCCGAGTGTCTAAGCGCCACGGTATTGTTGCTTCAGAGGCCTGGGAAGAACACTGGGTCAAATCAAAATTGCTGGCCCCAGTTATTGATTCGCAAGCTGCTACCAAATATTCAGGGATGAACATTTTCCGCGGATTTCTAAGCCCCAGGGGTCGATTTTCTGAAACATCTAAATTCGAGGAGAAAATTTTAGGGGAGGGGGGTCAGAATACAAATCGTCTTTATTCACTGGAAGTAAACATGCTGTCGGGTCATTGTGTCAGCTGCAAGAAGTCTGTATCAGTGTACGGTCGAAGGGAGACAACTCGCGGTGTCTCCAATGCGGCGTGTTCGTGACTCTTTTCAGTGCAATCGTAAAATCTGAAGTGGTTTCCAAGTGTTTGAAGTAATATGTAACGATTAACATGATTGGCTGGGTTTGCTCTGAGTGAGCTGCCCTGTTGCCTAGAGCCAATGTCTTGGACAAAGACTCGGAAGTCGTTATCAATGTCAGCTTGGACCCCGGCTACTTTACTTTCAGCTGAAAATTCTCATTCTCATCCCTGAATATTTTATAAAGCCAAAACAACATGCCACTCTCCCATGTACGAGTTACTACAGTATTGCAACATTGGTTTCATTGTCAATGACGCTAAAGCGAGTGTGACACTTGCTTCAAGGCTCTTGATACTGCAAGATCATTTCTAAAGAAACACGACATATTACAAAAAGAGAACTACCGTTTTAAATTTAATATACATTTTTGTAAACATGCTGACTGTTATGATTTTGATAAAAAATAAATGACATAAACGGTGGAGAACGCGCTCCCCTGAAGGCAGAATGTAAATTAGCTATTTCTCGTTCAGCCTTAGTTTTACGCAATTGACATTTATTTTTCAAGAATTTTTATCAGAATCACAACAAACTGCAAGGAGGTCAACTGTTAAAACAATAAATAGGTTTTTGTTATTTTTTCTATTAAAAGTGTAGAAAAAGACCACTAGGGCATATGCCCGGACATGACCTCAATTTCTTGTATCTAAATTGGGGCAGCTGCCCGGCAAGGGTGCTTACCTGGACAACTGCAGTACTTAGTATAACTTTAAAAAAATAATTACATATTGTTTGTTAAACATCATATATTCATCATATCTTACTTACTTACACATTTTTCTCATTATCTTCAAAGGTAACTGTAACTGGTGGCATGCCAGTGATGGCAGATCATGTCGATAATTACAACTCCATTGCAGTTAATGACATGATTGCTATTTACTGTCCAGAATATGATGAAATACCACAAATTGGTAAAGTGTTGAGTCGAGACGATGACAAGTTTATTATACACTGGTACAAAGGCTCATGGAGGACAGCATGGAAGCCATTTTACCTATTCCAGGGCCGAAAAAGGGTACCTTACCAGGATGAAGAGCCAGTGGAAGCAGCAATATATTGGGGGTTTTCTTTAAATGGCAGGAACATGCTGAGTAAAGAAACTCAGATCATCCTACATGAAAAATATGATGATGTAATTGTTTCATTGCAAGATTGATGCTGGGAGTGAACTAAATTTACTTTAAATATTTAGAATAGAAACACATTTTCATTTTTTGTTATGTAATACATTAGTAATAATTAAAATATATATATATATACTGGTACATATACATTTCTTTATTCCATGGCTAAGAATGAGTTATTATTTAGGAACTGCACACATCATAAGGACAAGTTAACAGCTCTTAAAGAAACTCGTTGATTTGCAACTCCAATGAAAGGACCAGTTACTTCAACAAAACCCTACTCACAGCGAAAACCATGAAGCTACTAGTGTATAAAATAAATAAGAAAACCTTCAATTTCCCGACAATTGTCGAATACTGGAATGCCTTCAATACTCGACATTTGTCGGTTACTGGAATGCCTTCAATTCTCGACAATTGTCGGTTACTGGAATGCCTTCAATTCTCGACAATTGTCGGTTACTGGAATGCCTTCAATTCTAGACAATTGTCGGTTACTGGAATGCCTTCAATTCTCTACAATTGTCGGTTACTGGAATGCCTTCAATTCTCGACAATTGTCGAATTCTGGAATGCCTTCAATTCTCGACAATTGTCGGTTACTGGAATGCCTTCAATTCTCGACAATTGTCTGTTACTGGAATGCCTTCAATACTTGACAATTGTCGGTTACTGGAATGCCTTCAATTCTCGACAATTGTCTGTTACTGGAATGCCTTCAATACTCAACAATTGTCGGTTACTGGAATGCCTTCAGTTCTGGACATTTGTCGGTTACTGGAATGCCTTCAGTTCTGGACAATTGTCGGTTACTGGAATGCCTTCAATTCTCGACAATTGTCGGTTACTGGAATGCCTTTAATTCTCGACAATTGTCGGTTACTGGAATGCCTTCAATACTCGACAATTGTCGGTTACTGGAATGCCTTTAATTCTCGACAATTGTCGGTTACTGGAATGCCTTCAATTCTAGACAATTGTCGAATTCTGGAATGCCTTCAATTCTCGACAATTGTCGGTTACTGGAATGCTTCAATCCTCCCCAACAATCGT